ATTATTGGGTTTATTTATGGATTATAAAATGGGTATTTTATATCTTTTTAAAATAAAAAGATATGTTCCTACCAAGTGTGGTGACGTAAGTCTGTTTTGGTATGGAACGGGATTTTGGGAAATGTTTCTACCAAGCGTGGTGACGTAAGTCTGTTTTGGTACGAAACTATATTTTGGGAAACATTCCTACCAAGCGTGGTGATGTAAGTCTGTTTTGGTATGGAAGTGGATTTTGTAAATTGTTTCTACCAAGCGTGGTGACGTAAGTCTGCTTTGGTATGAAACTTATTTTAAATAATAGTTTCCCCAGACGTGGTGACTTTTGTCTGTTCTGGTTTGGAACTGGGAATGGGTACTTTCAGACGTGGTAACTTATGTCTGTTCTGATAAGTAGCCCTGTTTTGATGGAGGAATAAGGGTGGCATATCAAGGAGAGGTGTACTTGGAATAAGGGCGGCATTGTCGTATGTGGATAATATTAATAACTCTTATTATTACTAATTGGTTCTAATAACTTTGATTTGTCATTTCTTTGTGACCTGATGAATTAAAAGATATTATTTCTAATTAATAATAATTTAGATGTTATTGAGAAGGGGAAAATGGTTTGTCATATCAGACAAGTTTTGCCTTAAATCTTTCATGTTAAAGGAATGGTCTTTTAATTCAAAAGTTTTGATTACAATGTTTGTTTCATACTGGGAATATTGGATCTCTATTCAGAGATATTTTATAGAATTGAGGTTCTTGGGTATACTCTATTTTGCATAATATTGTGAGTTGCATCAATTGTTGTATTACATAATATTTCTCAGCAAAAATTACATTGTCATATTTTGGTATTCATTACCCTGCATTTACAAAGAAAGGATTTACTCACTAGACCCGTATGGTCTAACCCTCATTTTCTGTTTTAAATTATGCAATGCAGGAATAGCTGGGTCCGGGGATATAGAAGGGAAAGGGAAAATGTGATTATTTTCTTAACCTGTTGTTTGCTTTTGAAGATACATGTTATATCACATGTAATAGTACAAGATTTGTTTTGGAAATTTTTATATGTAGATTTTGTACATATAGTAATCCTTGTACTAGTGGGACCTTATGGTGTAATCTATGTTTCTATATAATGAAATATGTGTTCTATGCAAATGTGGTGTTTGGGGGTGTTACAAAAAGTGATCAAGGGTCCAAATCCCTTCTTACACTTCTCACATTAACTCATATTCGTATATATATATATATATATATGTGTGTGTGTGTGTGTGTGTGTGTATGTGAACATCAAATTCAAGAGAACAAAATACTACCTTTTTATGTAATTTGTTTAATTAAAATTGAACTGTATTTAAATAATTTTAAATCTAAAAATAAAGAAATAAATCTACGAGTTTCCAAAACTTGATTCGTTCATATAGAAAGGATAATATGAGTTTCTAAAACCCCTTTTTAAGTTTTCATTATTATGGTTTACAGAAAGGTAATGGTAAATACTACAAAAATTAAAAAATTATATGCATTATATATTTGTATATAATGTTTTGATGTTTGTATTTCAAAAGTTTCTAAAAGATAAAAAGAGTGAACTACATTGAAGGTCTGTGCGGTTTGCTCTAAATTTGGATATAGTCACTTAATCGCATATCTACATTGATGGTTCTTAAATTTTCATTTTCATAACACCTACATTCACCCCAAGTTAACATTGTTAAATAAGGTCTATTAAATTAAGGCATGTACCTTTTATATGAGAGCAATTTAATGCTTTTACCTTTTTTTTCTTTAAAAAACAACTTAGGGGTCGTTTACCAATTTTTTTGGTTAAGTGCTGATTCGGGTAAGATGTCTGACTGTGATAAGAGGTCTGACTGGATTAAATGCAAATTGTATTTTCTTGTTTACCAAACATTTTGTGTTAAGTGCTGATTGAGTAAAAAAAGACCATTATATCTTTTTTTTTTGGAATAAGTATTAATTAAAAATTATTGTATTATTTAAACCTAATTATAATTAAATAAAATTTAAAAAAACTGGCCCAAGCCCAGATACATTTAAGCCCAATTATACAAATCTATATGTATTTTCACTCAAAAACCTCAAAACYCTATTTCTCTCTACAAACTTCCCTTATTTTCTCTCCCACCTCCAGACCGGCCACCGTCGCCGGCCGCCGTCGCCGCCCTCCCGTCGCCGCCCTTCCGTTGCCTCCCTCCCGTCGCCGCCCTCCCGTCGCCGCCCTCTCGTCAACGCCCTTCCGTCGCCGCCCTTCCGTCGCCTTCCTCCCGTCGCCCTTCAACACCTTGAACCGGACATACGCCTCCTCACCTTGAATCAAATGACCCACCTGTTTGTATGAACTGTTTGTATGAAGAAAAATGCATCTATTTAGGGTTTTAGATGAAGAGGGTAGATTAGGAATACATACCTCTTACCATGGTAAGATTCATTTTTTTTGCTGACTCCAGTAAGAGGACGGTCAGAGGTCGAAAATCATATTGTTGATTTTGTTGTTTGGTAAACACTTTTACCTCTTACCCGGGTAAGCATCTCTTAACGGGTAAGAGGTGGTAAGAGATTAGTAAACAGCCCCTTAATATTAAATATATTAGATGTGTCTCTCTCTCCCTCAAATACGGTTCTCCACTCTTCTACAAATAGATACGAGTGGATACATTCCTTCTTCTCTGGCATTGCACACCCACCATTTCCGCAGATATGGATTTGGTATGACCATCAATTTGTTTTTCATTTAGAATTTTTTTAATTAATTTAGGTTTGTATGTTTAGATTTGTGGATTTTGATTCAAAATTTATTCTTGATTTTACTTTATAATAAATTAACTTAAAGACAAATAAATATTAAAAATGAAGAACATGACATCTAGTAAATTAAATCTTGATGAAATTAACTTCTCACATGGGATGTATAACAAAACTCAGGTTAATGATATTAAGTTGAGAGAGAGATCACCAGCTTCGATATAAATAACGGACCACATCTACTTAATAATATAATATACATGTCTGAAAAATGGGATTGTTGTAGCATTAATTTTGTAATTATTGCCTTTGCTAAAATAATTTAAATTCCATGTATCGAGTAGTTGTCCCAAAAACATGGTATATTCCTTATTATCAAACCATATCAAGTAAATGTAATATAATTTATAAAAAAAAAAAAAATAAGATTTGAAAGATAAGATAAAATACACAGAGCTTTCATCTCTATCTAAAAAATAAAAATGAATTTATAAGAATTAAAAAACACGATAATGACATTTTCCTCATTTAATTTTTGAACCTCCTTTTTGACTTATGTAATCTATATAGATAACTTAACACGTATCTATTTTAAACATAGTTATTACTACAAACCAATTAATAAAAATATAATTTTTTATTATTTAATCATCATTACAAATTAATTAACTAACATATTTATGAAAATGATAATATTTTATTTATTATGATTTTAAAATTTACGAAAGATTATCATATAATTAATTTACTATTATCAATGCTTTATATTAAAAACAACCAATACATTAATTGAATCTGTGTGATTCATGTATAAACTATATGTTTATATGTGAACTCGTGTGATCCATATATCAACTATTTAACTGATTCACATATAAACTTGTGTGACTAGTTAAATAGTTTATATGTGAATCATAACTAATCACACGAGTTCACACGTGAATCACACAGGTTCATATGTGAATAACACGGATTCACATATGCACTTGTTTGCTGCATATTTGTAAAAGTTACAAAATTACCCTTATATCTTCTGCATACCATGCGACCGAATTATCCGATGTTTCATATTTAAAGTCGCAAATGTTGAGCATATGAAGTGCTCACACATTTATTACTCCCAAATGAATCTCTTCATATATATATATATATATATATATATATTATATATATATATATATAAACGAAAACATGGTACCTATTTAAAAGAACTCGAAAATGGATGAATCACATGTGATTTTACACTAACATCACATACAAAATCACATATGATTCAAACGATCTTGCCCGGCAACCTGAAGACACAAGTCACAAGTTGCCCCGACACTTTTTTAACCATTAATGCAATATCACACATGGCTTTGCACGTGATTTATCCGTTTTCATGTTCTTTTAAATATGTGTCATTATTATTTCCCCTCGTAATATATATATATATATATATATATATATATCTCTTATATTTTTCAATATTTGTTAATTATCTTACTTTATCTTTTAACGCATATCAACGGTTTTTTTATTCATCGTTTTGATCTTCATCTGTTTTTTTTATATAATAAACAAAGATATTATTGAGAGCAAGTAGAAAGCAACGTTTAAAATCAAATATATAAATATATAAATATATATATATATATATATATCGGATTTCCGGGTGGGTCAGGTGGCCAAAATCAAACCCAATTATCCCCCCAAAAATTAGGTTTCGTATTTCAAGGCATTTGGATTTGTATGAACAACTCATTTTGTTTCGGGTTTTCGGACCATTTTAGTTTTTCACACCCCTACTCATTAGCTTCTCCATGCTTGATTGAGCTAGATATACCCCGACCTAAAGTCGGGCTCAGGCTCTGCTTGAGAACCCCAAGTCTCAAACACAAGAGTAGTGCTCGATTGGTTTGAGTTATGGCTCCAAAGATAAAAAATGTCTAACGATTTCAGGTTCGAATCCAAGGAGGAATAAAAATTCCAATATGGCCACAAAGGTTCAAATGCGATGATTTCAGACTACCTGCTTTACCTTGAAATTAGTCAGCTGGCATAAGAGGGTGGATATACAGATTAATCAAAAAAAAAAAAACCCAAGCCTCAAAGTTCGTTCATGCCAAAATATTGACATAGGTACGGCCTAAAAAAGCCAATCGAGACATTTTTGAATCCCAGACTTGGCCTGGGTTTAAAAATGTTGGGACCTTTTCTATAGTTGACCGAAAAAGGAGCTTGAAAGGCCCAGATACAAATCAAAAGCACTGGACTCATGGACTTCGGGCAAATCTAGATTAAACATCAGTACATATAAATCATGAAGTGTATGCTAAGAAAAATAATATTTGATTTGAATAAAAATTTTAATCTAAATTCTAGAGCGTTTATACAAAAATATGTGGTTTAAAAGATGATTTAATTTCCACAATTTTTTGTTATAATAATAATAACTACCCTTAATTTACGATTTAAAATTACAAACAGTGCGAAACTACTAACGGCTGTTTGATGTATTTCCAAATACAGTAAACGCCATGAAATCGTCGTTAAGTGACCATACAACCGGATGTAAAGTCAATGCTAGGATAAGGTGATGATGATCGGACCTCGAATATATCGTTACCGTCACCACCGTCAAGAACCGCTGTCCAGCTAGTCGGCGTTAAGGCTGCCCTAGAGTCTGCCGTCTCCGGTTCTACTTTGACTTCTTTCCGAGTTTCATTCACTTCCACCTCAGACTTTCCGGCAGCTCTTTTACGGCTATTACTCCTTACAACCTTCGTCTCCGTTTCCGCTTCATCGGAATTTCCAATTTCGAGCGGGAAATTCAATATGGCTTTGTTGCCACGAAGCTTAAACGCCGCCCGATCATACGCCTTAGCGGCCTCCACAGCGGTGTCGTAAGTCCCAAGCCAAACCCTAGTCCCTTTTTTGCTGGGATCACGGATCTCCGCCGCGAACTTTCCCCACGGCCGTTGTCTTACTCCCCTGTAATGCTTCCTGTCCTCAAAATCCTTCTCCTTGAATACGACACCGGATTTCACGATTGTAGGTGGATGAAATGGAAACGACATATTCACAGAGGTTTTTCGTTCATTAAAACCGTTGTTGCTAGTTTTTTCCGTTCGAAGCATCGGCAAGGGATCTACTCCGAATTCGAATGGGTGATCCGAAACAGGATCGTTGGTTTGAATCTGAGCAATCACAGAGGACTTAAAAGAAGAAGAGGAAGATGATGATGAAGTTAGAGGAAAACCAACAGTGGGTTCGTGTTCATGATCGGCGAGAACAGAATATGTCTGAAGGAAGGATAAATCATCAATAAGAAGGTGTTGGCGGATGAGATCTAAAGCTGAAAATTCATCGAGCGATGCCATATTTAGGGGGCAGAGAGAGAGAGAGAGAGAGGGAGAGAGGGG